CAAAAACAGACTTTGATGAAGTTTTCCAAATATCGTGGATTTCATCGAAATTTAGGCTTGAATGATATGAAGCGCTGTATCGACAAACTAACTATTTTAGTCAGATATTATATTCACTTTTAACATGTATTATAAGCATGTTTAATGTTGCATGCTATTTTTGTCGACGTGTGCGCTATTGCTGTTTCCGGTTCTGAAAACGAATGGAATTCGATGCCTGCTTTCTTTGTTTGCTAGGAAATTGAAATTGTTTCTAACTGTGTCGCCAAAGAATGATATCTAATCTAGTTATTGTTTTTAAAATAATACGTTTCATTGTTATAACAGCCATCAATCAAAATTTGAACTTTAAGCTCGATATTCTAGTAACATTTTGGCCTTGTCCAACTTACTTCTTTTCCAATAGCCATTAAACGTTGAGCAGTTGATTTATCGGGACTATCGTGACGAGGTAAGCTAAGTTGTTGTAGATCTCAACACTTCTCGTTTTAATTAGTTTTGAATGACAAAAGGCAGATAAAAGATTGTTCAATATAAGTTTTAAGGATCATTTTGAAAAGATGAACAACATATCTTTTAGAAAAAAAAACTAGTCGATAAACAGATACAAACGCAGATGATTGAGTGAGTGTCCCCTTTTTTTAGGGTGTTTATTCATTCCCCCACAGGTATTTGTCTCTGAAAAAAAGGCACATAATATTTAATATTATATTAAGGTATATATGGAAAAAATCAGAGACAAGCGCCTGTGATTTCCATCAAAAAAGAAATAGGAAAATCTCAAAATTAGATTTTCCGTTTATGTTTTATAATTCACGATACAATGCTATTTTGCATTGAAAAACCTTTTCAAATTTCATCAGCTACGAGGCGGCTAGCTTTTCAGAAAAGATATTACATGTTATCAATGGATTTCACTTATTTTCTGGATACACTATAAGTCACAACGACCAAAAAATTGGCTAAACAGACTATATAAAAATAAGAAGATGTGGTATGATTGCCAATGACACAACTCTCCATCAGAGACCAAATAACATAGAAGTTTACAACTATATTTTACTGTATGACCTTAATGATACATGAAGACTGCTAGTTGTCCTTTGTTTATTAATGTTGATCATTGTGTTTTTGCTTAGTTTCTTCTGTTACCTAGTCTAACATCGGACTTCTTTTAAACTGAGTTTTACTGTGCGCATTCCTTTTTTTTCAGTGTGGCGTCAATTTTGCTGAACTAGTATTCATAATTGTTAAGGGGCAGGCTGAAGCCTGTTTCTGGTTACGAGAATTTCTCTCTGCATTGGAGGCCCATCGTTGGACTTGCGCTGTTTTTCTGCTCTTTGGTCGGGTTGGTGTATCTTTGACATATTCCCCATTTCCATTTTCTATTCTATAAAGGTGTAATTCGAGAAATACCGATTTATCACAAGTATTCAAATTAAATGTACGCAATGGTGACATTGACTGAAATAATATGATTATGTTAACGAAATATCCTTGATTGCAAATTGGTAATTATGCATTTAAGAATAAACTAGCAAATCTAAAACTAAAATCTATATCTGTTAATATATTTTTTTCAGATGGTGTTTTAAGTAAAATTTCGTGTATAGATGGTTGCTGCCTAAAAGATTAAAGAGAAACTGGAGCAATTTATGGTTCATAATGGTAAAGTGGAATTAATCAGTTCTACGGCCAGTAGAGTTTTACCTCATTATCCGTCGTTTCACTGTCTGTATGACTATGCTCAGCTCTTAATAAAATTGCATATCACGGCTTTGTGACATCAATTACGTTGACCCCGCCTTATTAACTTTGACCCGGACATATCACCGACGTCATAATGAAGCCTTTTTGAACTCGTTCGCTGCGCTCACTCGACACTGAAAAAGCTTCATATTGTGACTCGCAGCTGATATTATACAATATTAATATGCAGCTAACCTGATAATCGGTACGCCTATCGACGAAATTTGAGAAAGAATAATAAACTTTTTCATGATATTTTCTAACGCTGTTTAGTATATTTCTTGAACATAACTTGTTTAAAGAAAACAATGTAACTGAACATCAAATCAAAATTTGTTTTATAATATGTTCGGCTAGTTTAGTTTAATACTCATGATTAAATTTAATGACTTGCAAGGGGAGCGGCAAGTTGGGTCAACCCCTTACAACGAGTACATATACTATAAATGCATCGATATTTTACTTATAATTTTTTTAGCTTTATTTTTCATCATTATTATCATAATGCAGAACATTAAAAGAAGTAGTAGAAGTAGCAGTAGTAGTAGTAGTTGTAAGTTAAGAGATTTGACAATACAAATCTCACATAAAAAATAATAGGAATAAGAACAGTGTAAAGCTACTGCAAAATGATTTTGTTAAATGATATTTCATATTGTAAAGAACCACTAATTCGGACCCGGTCAGAAAGAAAAGTTGTCATTTATCGGCCTTTTACAGCTTATTATGCGGTATGGGCTTTGGTCATTCTTGAAGGCCGTGCTTTGACCTATAGTTGTTAACTTCTATGTCATGTGGAGTGTGGTGGAGAGATGGCTAGTTGACAATCATACCACATCTAGTTGTTTTTATAAATACAAAAAAAAAGTAGTACATTTGTACATATTATAAACAAAATAGTTCTTACGCATATCTGTAACTTTGTCAATGAGTAAATTATTTGGGAAATATTGGTATCAAATGAAAGCTTGTTAAAAGTGTCTTTCCAATAATAAAAAAAGTATATGCAATTTGAATTTGAGCAGATCAGAGGTACATTTGTACCTGTTTTTGTACAACAAAATACCTGGAACCAGTCCATTCTAATATGCAATTAAAGATATGTTAAATTGTTCAGCGCAAGGCAGGATATGGTACAGTTTTTACAGGAAATGACTGCCACTTCATTTGAACTTGAGACACAATAGCTATGAGTGCTTGAAGTTGCAGAATTTAACATAGAAAGCAATGGGGCTGCTATGAATTAGTTGTGTCATTCCTAAAGAAACAGCACGCACGCTTTAAACAAAGGCAGATTAAGAGGGGCAAACCTACAAGTACTTAAATACATGAGGATTACATGAAAAAGGGACATACACGAATTGGCCAAGGTCATCTCTGCCTGAGGGAGTTAGAACCTTAGTTATGGAAAATGTCTTAATTTGTCAGTGAACATTTCAGAAAGGTATGCTATAAATCAATTCAGATCGATCGAAACACTGACTACTGAGATGATGATATCCTCGGAAACTAGTTGTCAACTAGCAGCAAAATCGACCCAATGCCAAAAAAAAAAAAATATTTAGATGTGGTGCATCCAAATTTTTTTTCTTATTTACCTTAATCGGAAACGCTCACCGGAAAATATGAAAGCCACTGATGTATAAGTATCGGGATACATTAGGATCTGTGTGAATAAAATTAAAAACAAAGATACTTCGTATAATAAATCCTAATAAAATGATGAGGTTTTACATTTTGTCATCATGCCAGGGCGTTGTTGAAGACCGACGTTCGATGATATAGTTGCGTACAAATGGCGTCATTTGGACTCTGGTGGATAATGTTCTCATTGACAGTCATACCACATCTCCTTATTTTATATTGACGACAATGTTAATATTTTGATAGTAAGACTATGTTTTGCCTTTATTATACGATTTCTGGTATTTGGTTTTCTTGGTCATTGTTGACAATGTGCACTAATGTTTATTGGCGTAAAACCTTTTTTATATCCAAATCCTGTATTAATATCCAATTATGAGGTGTTTTTGATCATCAGTATAGCTGTTTGGATTGCAACAGGAAACTCGACACTGTAAAAATATGGTATGATGGCCAATGAGGCAGCTAGTTTCTGGTCATTTGTTAACGAGTTTTCTAGACTCACGGCCAATTTAGAGCCTGCCATATTATAAATGTACGTGTCTGGTTTTGAAACAATATGTTAGCCTCACGATGACTTTTGGGTTTTTGCATTGCTTGTGTGTTGCTGTCTCATTAGGTGTATTCCTCATATTCTTTATAATCATTTACCAAAATAAATATCAGTAAAACATTTATTAGATTCGGTTATAAACAATAATAATAAAAGTTGATTTATTTCTAATTGATCGTCCATCTAATGCGATTTGAAAATGAAATTGTATACTGTCTCCATCTATTCAGAGGAAGCTAAAAGTCTTAATAATCAGAAACCAACAGATGGAGGCAGTATACATTTTCATTTTCAAAAATTTGGGTTCAGATAATAAAACAATTTTTATAACATTTTTATCAACGTTTTTTTCAATTAGACTTTTAATTACATTTATAAAGAATTATTTCTTCAATATACGTTTATTTAAGAATTTAGATTGTATGTACAACTTCAATTGAATAGATTTAAATTATTGGCAATCTCTCATTTAGGAAATTAAGTCATTTAGCACATGAGTTCACCCCCCCCCCCTCCTTTATCTGTAGAGTTCGTGTTGCTCAATCTCTAGTTTTCTATGCGGTGTCAGCTTTTCTTCGACTAAGGAGTTTTAAATGTCCCTTTGGTATCTTCCGCCCTCTTTTTATTTACAGCTCATTTGAATATAACGCGTGATAGTGAAAGTTTTAAAATTATACCTTCAAAAAAGTTAACAATAATATTAATTTTTCATAAGAGATGACACTTTGAATTGGAATTCTTAACATATTTTGTATCCGACTCGCACATTAAAGAAATGGGCACTAGATCTGAAATTAGAGGAAAATATTTATCCTGAGCAGTATAAAGACTTATGAAATCTTGTATCTTTTTCTTGTGATCAGTCGACAAAAATCTGTCTGCATATTGCATAACAACAGCTCGATTAATCCGTATTCCATATATAGGACATTCACTTGTAGATTTCCACTTTTTGTGACCTAAAAGTAACTCGACAATATCTTTTCTTCATTTATTGTAGCAGTATATAAAGCTGACTTTTTAAATTTTTTTTTTGTTTTATGATATTTTTTGATTATGATTTAACAATAACGTTACAATTTCTGTATTGCCATTGATTTAACAATAACGTTACAATTTCTGTATTGCCATTACGAGAAGCAACATAAATTGGAGATTCGTACTTTTGATTGCAAATATGAGGATTGCTTCCATTATCTAATAATAATCTAACTATTTCAGTATGTCCTAGAGCTGACGCAAAATGCAATGCAGAGTTGCTATTTTCATTAATAATGTTTGAATCACTGTTGTGTTCTAGCAATAGTTTAACTATTTCAGTATGTCCTTTATCTGATGCAAAATGCAATGCAGAGTTACTGTTTTTATTAACAACGTTTGGATCACACTTGTGTTCCAGCAATAGTTTGACTATTTCAGTATGTCCTTTATCTGACGCAACACATAATGCAGAGTTGGTATTTTCATAAACAACGTTTGGATCACACTTGTGTTCTAGCAATAATTTGACAATTGCAGTGCGTCCTCCAGCTGAGGCAAAATGTAATGCAGAGTTGCTGTTTTCATCAATAATGTTTGGATCACACTTGTGTTCTAGCAATAGTGTGACTATTTCAATATGTCCTTTATCTGATGCAAAATGCAATGCCGAGTTTCTGTTTTTATTAACAACGTTTGGATCACCCTTGTGTTCCAGCAATAATTTGACAATTTCAGTATATCCTTTAGCTGACGCAACAAACAATGCAGAGTTGCTGTTTTTATTAACAACATTTTGATCACACTTATATTCTAGCAATAGTTTGACTATTTCAGTATGTCCACTATCTGACGCAACACATAATGCAGAGTTACTGTTGTCTTAACAATGTTTGCATCACACTTGTGTTTTAACAATAGTTTAACTATTTCAGCATGTCCTTTACCTGAAGCAACATACAATGCAGAGTTGCTGTGTTCATTTACAAAGTTTGGATCACACTTGTGTTCTAGCAATAGTTTGACTATTTCAGTATGTCCTTTAACTGAAGCAACACACAATGCAGAGTTGCTGTTTTCATGTACAAAGTTTGGATCACACTTGTGTTCTAGCAATAGTTGAACTATTTCAGTATGCCCTCTATCTGACGCAACATACAATGCAGAGTTTCTGTTTTTATTAACAAAGTTTGGATCACACTTGTGTTCCAGCAATAGTTTGACTATTTCAGTATGTCCTTTAACTGAAGCAACACACAATGCAGAGTTGCTGTTTTCATGTACAAAGTTTGGATCACACTTGAGTTCTAGCAATAGTTTAACTATTTCAGTATCCCCTTTATCTGACGCAACATACAATGCAGAGTTGCTGTTTGCATTAAAAATGCCTGGATTACACGTGTATTCTGGCAATGATATGCCTAGATTTGTAGAATCAAGATTTGATACCATAAACATAGAAGCGACCTTTTTTTCTTCTTTTTTCCATTTTACTCCCAGATTTGACTCGCCATATGTATCTGATATATAAGGATTGGCCTTATTATGTAACAAAAGTTTTACAATATCTACATTATCAGATTCAATTGCCACATATAGTGGCGACTGGCCATTTACATTGCATAAGTTTATATCACAATCGTGTTCTAGCAATATTGCAGCTGCTTCTACTTTATTATCTTGTGCTGCTAGGTGTAAAGGTGAATTCCCATAGTTATCTAATTTATTGGGATCAGCCTTATTATGTATCAAACATTTTACAATATCAAAATTATCATATTTAATTGCCAAATAAAGTGGTGACTCGCCAGCTTTATTGTACAAGTTTATATCACAATCGGGTTCTATCAATATTTCAGATGCTTCTGTTTTATTATATTTCACAGCTAGATGTAAAGGGGACTGGCCATATTTATCTGATATATTAGGATCGGCCTTATTATTTATCAAAATGTTTACCATTTCTCCCTTATCAGATTTAATTGCCACATAAAGCGGTGACTCGCCATTTTTATTGCATAAGTTTATATCACAATCGTGTTCTAGCAATATTTCAGCTGCTTCTATTTCATTACATTGTACTGCTATGTGTAAAGGTGAATTTCCATTCATATCTGATATATTAGGATCGGCCTTCTTATGTATCAAAAGTTTGACAATATCTACATTATAAGATTCAATTGCTAAATAAAGTGGTGACTTGCCATTTCTATTGCATAAGTTTATAGCACAATCATGTTCTAGCAATATTTCAGCTGCTTCTATTTCATTACATTGTACTGCTATGTGTAAAGGTGAATTTCCATTCATATCTGATATATTAGGATCGGCCTTCTTATGTATCAAAAGTTTGACAATATCTACATTATAAGATTCAATTGCCAAATAAAGTGGTGACTCGCCATATCTATTGCATAAGTTTATATCACAACCGTGTTCTAGCAATATTGCTGCTGCTTCTGTTTTATTACATTGTGCTGCTAGGTGTAAAGGTGAATTCCCATTCATATCTGATATATAAGGATCGGCCTTATTATCAATCAAGATTTTTACAATTTCTGCATTATCAGATTTAATTGCCACATGAAGTGGTGACTTGCCATTTTTATTGCATAAGTTCATATCACAACCGTGTTCTATCAATATTGCTGCTGCTTCTGTTTTATTACATTGTGCTGCTAGATGTAAAAGTGAATTCCCATTCATATCTGATATATTAGGATCGGCCTTATTATGTATCAACAGTTTGAAATTATCTGCATTATAAGATTTAATTGCCCAATAAAGCGGTGACTCGCCATTTCTATTGCATAAGTTTATATCACAACCGTGTTCTAGCAATATTGCTGCTGCTTCTGTTTTATTACATTGTGCTGCTAGGTGTAAAGGTGAATTCCCGTTCACATCTGATATATTAGGATTGGCTTTATTATGTATCAACAGTTTGACAATATCTATATTATAAGATTTAATTGCCAAAAAAAGTGGTGACTCGCGAAAGTTATTACAATCATTGGGAGTTACATTATACTGTAATAATAACTCCACAATTTTTACAAATCCTTGCGATGCTGCTTTACATAAAAGCTGTTGATGTGACTTACAAAATTGAAAGAAATCATTTTCCAATAACATATTTAAGATGTTTTCATTTTCCAAAGCCAGAGTTATAGGTGACTTGTCATCTTGACAAAAATTTCCAGCATGAATTTGATCCTTCAACAGAAGTGAAACAGCATTTTCATATCCATATGCTATGGAAATTAAAAAAAACAGTTTATACTCTCTTAAAATGTTACCACAGCAAACACCATTACACTTGTGCGATGATAATAATGCTAAAACATCTGCATGAATATTATCACTTTTAAAATACTGTACTAGGTCATCACTTTTTTTTTCGTTCAAAATTTCAACAATAGATTTAAAAAGCATTGCATGGATTTTGTGCAAAACAATGCTTAACGTTGACTTACGTTACTTATTACAGGTATCTGAAGAACAAGTCGGTCTTAAGATAATGTTTACAATTTGTAAATGTTTCTTCGAGAGAGCAATGCACAAGGGTGATTTAGGGTCAACAATACTGAAATGATAAAAGGAATTGTGTTTTAAGATTAATTCAACTATACTGCTGTATCCTAAATCGGAAGCAATGTATAGAGGGTTCCAATTTTTATGTTCACCAATATTCATTTTGCATTTACTTTCTAACAGCAACTTTACAATAGGACTAAATCCCATCCATGACGCAACATACAGAGCAGACATGCCATATTTGCTACACAGATCAGGGTTACATTTGTTGTTTAATAGTAAATGAACTATGTCTACATTTCCCTCCCAACATGATATGAATAATGGTGTTCTTTGATATTCGTCGCAAACATTTATATCCAAATTCATATCGATAAGCAAACGGATCATATCGCAGTATCCTTGTTTTGTCATAATCAGCAATGGAGAAGACTTCTCGTTTGAATGCATTGACATTGGTCCTGCTAGATCGGCTTTATTGTTTTCAAACCATGAAATAAGTTTCGTTCGAAATAACTGGTATTGTAGCTGATGATTTAAAAATACATGTTCAACATTGCCTTTTTTTATATCTGTGCACAAGCGTTCAAGATAGTCTCCTTCCTTTTCAACAGATACGATAATCATATTTTCACTTTCAGGCGCTCCTACGGATTCAAATTGGAAACGATCACGTATTAAATCTGAATGAGCATACTTAATAACTAGATCAAAAATGTACTGCCCAAAAACAAAAATCATAATATCGAAGATTTTATCATGAATAACTTTGTACTTATTTTCAGTTTCAATGACGTAAGACTCCATTAAAAACTCTAACTGTTGTTTCACTCTTTTGATGGAAAAAAACAAAGGGAATTTTGAACTCCTCTGACAAATCATCTAAAATTGGTCTGATTTCAGACGCTCTACATAAAACATCTTTTGTTAAACAGTTGTTGTAAATTACAAATAAGAATAATGTAGCTATAGTTGTTTGCTCGCTCAGCTTCATCATAGAATGCAAATCCTGTCGGACAAAATCAACAGGTCGAGAAAATAATTTGTCTATATCTTTTGGTGTTTTGTTAGCAGAAAGTTTACATAAGAGTGGAAAAAAATCGTATTCATTAAAGCGTTCTGTTTTCATGATGGAAGCAACAGTATATTCAGGAAGGTATTTCCCTGCCATAAGGACCCTTTCATCAACAGTTAAAATATGTTCATCTGACAACAAATTAAAAACAGTTCTGCAAATGACAGCATTGTCTTTTTCCATTTGATTATATATGTGTGTTCTACATGATGAAAAAATCTTAACAGTTTTTTTTTGCAGAATCTTGTTAATCTGCTCTGACAGTCTCGACCAAGTTTCAATTTTTGGTTGTTCTAACATATATTTTCCATAAACATCATCGAAGACAAATATCTGTTTCCTTTCAGGGTTAAAATAATTTCTCAAATCCATGGGATCATGACTATCAATAATGTCGTAATCTTGATAAAGATGCAATTGAAGTGCAAGATTGTGCACAGCAGTTGACTTTCCGCAGCCAGGAGACCCAATTACTGTTATGGTATCTGCAGTTGTAGCGAGTTCTTTAAGATTTTGAATAGCTGATGTTTCAACCACTTGCTTATCCAGTATCTTCCATCCATCGATTATACTGTCAAGCACCTCTTCAAAATATGACAAATAATTAACACGTGTTCAAAATATCTTATGTAAGGATTTAAGATTATGCAAGAATTATTTGGTAGAAATTAAACTTCGGAATTAAAATAAATTAATAAATAATTCTAAATTTTTCTGCCAAAATTATTTCCCCCTCATAATCGTTTTTTTTTTTTTTATTTTCTTAACTTTTCAGGGATTATCTTGTCAAGCACTTCAATTCGACAAATAATTTAAACATCTTTCTAAGTTATCCTGGTGTAACATTATGCAGGAACTAAACCTTCAGAATTTGATTTAATTAATCAAAAGTTTTGATAATTGACTTTTTTTTGCCAAAAAAAAAATAAATATAATTCTTCATAATTGTTTTCATAATTTTCCGTTATATATACTCATATTTCAAATTTTCTTTGGAATACAGAAGTATTCTAACATAAAATCACACGCAAATTCAACACATATTAAGATCAGTGTTTTGTACCTTCCGTGTCTCACTGAAAACATGTGAGTAAGCAACGTGATCAACACATTTATAATGAATTGATAAATTATAACAGGGGATTCATGAATAAAGACATGCCTGAGTCTGTATGGCAATCCTGGCCATTTGTAATGACCCATTTGGTCAAGCTGTGGCATCATAAATGTATTTATTGTTGACAACTAGCGAAAAATCTAATATTGAGAGATATTTTATTAAGGTCAATACTGGCACTAAAATTCCACGAAATGTTCATACACATTTAATAAAAACAGAAACGGATTTGTTTAATCAAAAACAAATCTACTTTAAATATCATTGAATGCATCGTCTGACCCGTTTGGATGATTTTAGATGTTTCGGGGATTTTTTTTTCAGATGTTACCGTAATGAGCAGTTTGTTATTTTCAGATTTCCCCCTTTCTATTATATCAAATATTTTTTACAATTTAAAGGACGATTATTTTATTTAAACCCTCTATTTTTTTGGTGGTGGCAGCCATTTATAGATGTAGAGTTTGAATGCTGGGCAATAATTTGAATAAACAGCCAATCTATAGTAGATCGTGAAATATATGTCTTCAATTTCTGTCTTTCTTGATAAGCCGGACATTTTTTAATAGTTTTTCACGATAATTAGAAAAAAATGCTATATTTTTTGTAAAGCTATTAATAAAAGAGTTCCAAATGGTGCAGTTGAAATCATCCCTTTATAAATTTTACGGACGCCATCACGAGTTTGTTGACCGTTATGGAATATCCGTTTCACAGATGATTGCGGATACGTTTCTAATGTCTTAACTACAATCCCGTTCCCTTTTCACGAATGTGACCTACCGAATTAGACTATTTACCGGGTTTGTACTAACATGAGTAACACGACGGGTGCCACATGTGGAGCGGGATCTGCTTACCCTTCTGGAAGCACCTGAGATCACCCCCAGTTTTTGGTGGGGTTCGTGTTGCTTAGTCTTTAATTTTCTATGTTGTGTACTATTGTTTATCTGTTTGTCTTATTTTTTTTTTTTAAGCCATGGCGTTGTCAGTTTATTTTCGATTTATGAGTTTGAATTTCCCTCTGGTATCTTTCGCCTTTCTTTTGTAAACTTTTATTTTAGGCAAAATGCTCCTATAAGAAAAGAACATAAAATATCTATTTCCTGATGCATGACTCCAAAATATATGGTCGGTAAGTCTGGATTTTTTAAAAACGAAATTTGCATCGATCTCATCATGAAATTCTTTAAACAGTTTTCCAAATGTTTATGAATGTGAAACTGTCATGGACGTTTGTGGTTACATTTTATCAACCAAACTGCGAGCACACTATTTATATAAGCCGGCCATTTGTCGGGTGAATCTTATAATGTTATATGTCCGCTTTTGATAAAAATGGAAATAGCTATATATTTGAAATCCAAGTGCAATGTTATATCTCCCTATAGAGCTATTTTACGAGATTTTTACACTCTACATGTTTAGTCGGAACAACACCCACATTTGATTATTATGGCTTATTCATCTAGTTTTTTATAGTGTTGTATCGCCACTATTTCTCATGTATTTTTTGTGTTAAATAGTTGTTATAAAAAGTATCTTAGTAGTTCTATGATAAAAAGATTCGCATGGCTTGAACTCAATCTATGAACTATTCTTAGCAAATCCAGCAATACAGATTTGGGGATAAAACAAAGTTAAAAAATCCATGGTCTATCTCCAAAGTAAATATAGGGATAAATTTCTAAAACTACATTGCTTGTAGGGATTGTTTAATCTCCAAAAAAGGGATACTTTATTTATCAAGTTGCTTGCCCATTAAAAAATATAACAAAGAGATTATCTTCGTGTATGTAAATTCGATTCCTATATAACATTTTATGTCTCGGTCAAATATTTATGATATTGAGCTTTTAAACTTTAATTAAAATTTTTACCACTATTACCAAATGAGAAATATATCATTATAAGATGCACACGATGATTTGTTTATTATCAATCACGGTCACAAAAACGCTTTTAGAAAAAGCCTTAATAAGACCACGACTATTTTGGGATATGCTAACGGAATAGCTTTTTTCTCGATCACAGCGAAAATTACTAATTGTTTTTGCGTGTCCCTAATCAGTGGTCTCGTTAGCCCAAAATAGAAGGGCGCCGCGCCCTGGGTGCCCTCATCCGCGCCCTGTGTGCCTTCATCCGCGCCCTTCTGCCCTGACGCCTTTTCCCCAAAAACCCTTGTGCCGTTTTGGTAAAATTGCCTTTTGTTTCATCGATTTCTTATCACAAAGTTAAATTACATATATGACACCAGGTGATTGCCCCCAGGTTAATCATGTCATTACAATCAATTACAGTGGATAAGACTTCAAAGGTGTTAATAACTAGGTAATTTAATTAAGACAATGTACTTTTTTGTCATAAATTTGATGAATGTGTCAGCTGGGACTATTATACTAGTCCCAGGTGTCAGCGAGTGTTTTTAGCTTGGGTCGATATTTTCGATCTCCAAGAAGAGTGTATAAATGAAGACTTCCATGACTTTAGAATAGAATTTAAGTCATCAAAATACAACTATGCCTTCACAGAAACGCCGTCCATCTCAACTTGTGAGCGACAAGCAAACAGTCAACGTGTTAGAAATTAATTTTGGAGTTACTTCCCCTGTTTTAGCTTATTACAAATTTGTGCTCCTAAAATATTATCTAATAATAAAAATAGGAATAAATTACCAATTGAATACAAAATTGTATAAGAATGTTACCTTAAGGATATTAACTGTCTTTGAACATACCAAAAAAAAATATATTGCAATTTATTTTTGATAATCATACTTTTAGCAATCCATGTTCTATACATAGTCAATTAAGAAATTTGTAAGAACAATTGTTATGATGATGTTAAGCTGCAATCCTACAATAATGGGTGATGAAGCTTTACAAAATAATTCCTTAACACAAACAATGAAAAAGAGTTTTGAGGGCCAAACTCTAGCTGAAAATTTTGAAATAAGACAACTCTGTCACATGTATGCTAAACTATGAGATGTTTAGTTTATGTTGTTTTTTTTTGGAAAGTAATTAGTAATGATATTCCAAATCACACACAGAAAAGTCAAAACTGGTAATGAAAATCGCCACCATTTAAGGGCAATAAGGCACCATAGGACACATGTGGTTGCTTCACATATATGATATTTCTGAAGATATTTATATAGAAGTTGTGGTTCCGATCTGGTTTGCTATTAAACATTTCTCTATTTTTGATATCATGTAAATCGCTATAACTGAAAAAAAATAAGCAATCGTCTCTAATAATTTTTGCAGAAATAGACGTAAATAGATCTTGATATAATTAAATAATTTGCTACTTGTTAAATATTTTGTCTTTATTATGAATTTCAAGAAAGACAATTACCTGCATTTTACCCTTCTTTTCTTTTTTCAGCCATGGCGACCGGGTTGATTAACAAATAGTGATATTATGAACAAACTACCACCAAGACCTTGATTTAAATTATTTAAGTTAGATGAGTTGTAAAGAAAGAGATGATCTTTGTGTTTTTTTAGCATAGACGGACGACAGACGACGAATACCAAGTGATAGCAAAATCTTGTACTGGTCTCTTTCATTTACTTTATAATTCTAATTATTTTTTTGATACTGTCTTTCCTTTCATTATACATAGTTGCCAAACCAGATAAATTATACACAGTACACGAGTACAAGAAATACAAAACAATCTTTAGGACACATTTACATACCTTGAAATCCTTTCGAAATTGGATTGTTTGACCTCTCATTATTTCTGAACTCGTTCAATATTTCCATATCATTTTTATCTAGTGTGGACACTTTTAAATCATTACATTTTTGTTGAAAGTCGATACCACCTAGACGAACAACAGTCTGTAAAATAACGTCATCCATAAAGTGTATGATTTACATGTACTCTTCTGAAGACATTCGGATTGACAAAGGTGATCTTGACGTTTGACTTTAGTCACGTCAAATAGGGAAAAGGGGGAGGGGGCTGTGTTGTCGAGTGGTCTACAGTGATTATTAGCCTTTTAACTCTGATGTTGCAATTTCGAACTTAGATCGTTGCGGGCTGTCGTCGAATGCGATATAATTTGACAAGGACTGATAGTTTGCATGGTGAAAATAGTTTATTCTCTACCGATACTCTGGCTTCCTTTGTCATAAAAAAATAGTCACCAAAATAAAGCGACAGTAGCTGAAAGTGGCGTAAAAAAACCCAAACGAAACTTAGCCTTATACCTTTTGCCCGTTGGTTACATATTGAGGAGTCCAGGACTTATGTTTTTGAGTAATTATTGTTATTGATATAAATTATCATTGATATGGTCATAATCATAAATAAGCTGATTGATAAAACTTTGAATTTTTCAAAATACTAAGGATGTTCTATCCATAGAATAGATACCTTAGCAGTATTTTGCCAAAACTATCTGAATTTCGGGTGCTAAATTCTCTTCAACTTCGTACTTTATTTGGTCTTGTTAACCTTGTTGATTTGAGTGTCACTGATGAGTCTTGTGTATACGAAAGCCTCGGCAGTCGTACAAAATTTGAAACCTGATATCAAAGATCTATTAATTTACGATAAGTCTTGAACCATACGAAGGGGTAGTAGCTTTTAGTCCAAAATATAAAAAGGTAGCTGCTTGATTTTTCCATCATTTTCACTTTTTTCTACGATGATTATGGTTTTCCAAGTTAAGGTGAAAAGGTCAAGGTGATTATGATCTGCGACGTTTATCAATATCACAATTCATTGAGGTAAATGATGAAGACTCTAGGTTCCTATGACTTTCTAGCAATGGTCACTTATGACATTCCAATATCTTCGATGGTGGTTATGTTCCTTAGAGTTATGTTTTTTTTGTCGAAATAAAAACAAAGTTGCGGGTTGATTACAAGCATTTTCCACAGTTTACTTTTTCTTGAACTTTTAAATTTCGGAGTTTATCTTATAACTATGTCTGAAGTGGAAAGGTCATGGTTGAACATTGGTTTTTGTCAAGGTCTGTTTTCAAGTAGACCATTAGGTTTAAACTTTAGGTCTTTAAGACTTCTGATTTTAGAATTCTGACGTTTTTGGAGTGGGTTTCAGATTTCGTGGAGTTATCTCCAGTTATGATTCGTGAAACTGATTGCGTAAAAAAATGAAATGCAGTATCGCTATTAACCAAGAATTATTTACCCCTTCGAGTTTCCTCCAGAGAAAATAGAATTATTTTATTTTCCTTGCATTCGATTGCCTTGTTGTGTACCCTCCTAGATGAAGTAACTTAACTTAAGAGCTGTGACTTGGTCTATGAGTATAGTGTAATTGTTTATTTTCACATATGAACAACAGCAATACAGTGAAAAATTTGAAGATGTAAAACTATATTTCTTAAGAATTTTTCATAAAGGCTTTTGATTTTTTTTTATAGATATGGCGTAATATTACGGTTGCTATATCGATACTAGTACTATAACCTACTAAAAACGAAAATTGTCATGCAGCAATTTGTCTTCAATTTAAAAAAAAAAGTTATAAGGCAATTTCATCATACATATTTCTCCAATATTATTTTTTAGTCTTTCCTGGACCGGATAGGACTACAATGACACTGTTTCAAACCGGAAGTTATTATATAATGAGGTCATTAGTATTATGAGTTCGTCTACAATTTACCGCACCTGCAATAACGGTTAATTGCGCGAGAAAATTTACCCCACTTGTGGTTTGAATTATTTTAACTGTAAGGTTGATAATTTTAAAAAGGTTCCAAACAACATTACAATTGAATTATTAAAAATAATAGTTAAAGATTGTTTTAACTTCTGGACTAAGAGTATAGAATGGAAAAATGTAAATGTTACTATGCATTTTCACAATGATTAAGAATATTTCAATAACTTTCAATTATGACCTTGCTAATATCAGCCCACATCTCTTGAAATTCTATGTTAGATAGTGTCGCATCATCGCAGAGTGCTATCAAATTTCTATAATGTTTCATCCTGGACAAATCAGCTGCGACGCTCATGTCTAATGGCAGTGGCAGTAGATCTCCAACGGAAATTTCTGCTAGGTTTCTCATAAGACAGATCATTAAGGTTAAGTCAAAACTATTCGAAGAAGCTTCACCTTAAATTATTCCAGTTTTAAAAATAATTTTGCAAGTAATTACAACTAATTTTTAGTCTTTGAACGTCTGTCTTTCATCATTTGTCTAGTTAAAAAAGTGTAACAAATGATTTTGCTATATAATTTCATGATGAGAGCTCCTATAATTCGTAAAGGTTAACAATTACGCTTTGTTATACGATAATTGAATATGTTTTGTCGAAGAAAACAATGATTTCATCTTAATAGTTTGATACATAACCTACAAAAGTATTTCTATCCAATTATGGTCCTACATGTTGTCGATATTTGAATTTTGCATTGTAGGAGGTCATCCTTTTCTCAAACTGTATACGAATACGAATACGAATACTTTATTAAATCCAATTAAAGGGCCCATTTCAGAGCATTTACATATTTAAATATAGTATTGATTATACAGTAATTTTTTAAGATATTTTACATTGAAAATAAATGAATAAATAATTATCCTCCATTCAAGATGTTGTTTAAAAATAAATAAATAGAATACTTACCCTTTGTAATACATAAACAATAAACTACATCACTAGCACATGTATATTTAGTCACTTGAATGCAAATTTTCTCTAATTTCAAAACAAGTACTAATATATATGTAACTGAGGGCTTTTAAAACACGAAATCCTCGTGTGGTGTATTGGTAGATATTTTTGCTTCGGAAAACATGGTATTTTTATATTTGATATGACATTTAGACAAGCGTCCAGTAACTCCAAACACTGTGTATGTACTCTAAGATCGGTACATAACTTTTCCGTGTACTAAGGAACTATGCATGTTTGACCACAAAGGTAAGATTTCATAGTATTATAATCAAGATATTTAGAACAAAAAAGCCACTGGTTATTTTGGAATAACATTATGTGTCCCAAATCAAAGAAATGTATGTAATAAGTTTTCACAATTGTTTTTATAAATCCTGTTTGAAAATCCTTGGTTTAAAAAAAAGGAGAAGTTACAATCATTTACATAAATAGTAAAAATATGGTTCTTAATACTTTGATCAGAGTCGAACGCAAATCTTATTGTGGTAATGTAGCATTCATGCAGTTACTTTGTTCACACATAAAATGAAACCTTATGAAGGGAAATACATAGGATTTGTAATAAATACTTGAGGGAAATAATAATAATGTCACATGTAAAAGGATGATGACAATCCCTTTTTTAACGTTCTTAAGGAAATTGATCCCTTTCATCAAGAAAATGATAATTTTGGAATGGAATGTGCCACCTATAAAATTGAGAATGGAAATGGGGAATGTGTCAAAGAGTCAACAACCCGACCAAAGAGCAGCAAACATCCCAGGCCACCAATGGGTCTTCAACACAGCGAGTAAATCCCGCACCCGGAGGCGGGTTTGAGCTTGCCTCTAAACAAAAATGTGTACTAGTTCAATGAACGTCACACTAAACTCCGAAACATATAATAGAACTAATCTATATTTCTATATGTCTATATTTTGACATATTAGTTTAGTTTTACTTTAAAATTAAAAAATAAGAAACCTGTTATAATATAAATGATCTTTTGATGTTGCCTTTTTAACCTATGCACTAGAATTTCTATAGGAGATTTAAGGTGATATAATTGTTCTGAAACTTAAAATTGAGATATTAATTCGTTATTTGAAATCTTCAGCTGAGATATTGTGCTTCTTCATCTGAAACAATTAATTGAGGTCCTAGTGTTCTGATTATTTAAACTTTGATATACCATTATTCATTTTCTTTGGAATCAATTGAGATACTATTGACAACTATTAATCTTCAATGTATGTTCTTACAAAAAATCTTTAAAACTATTTAAGAAAACAACATTTTGAAGTTTGTTTAAAGAGATAAATTCAAACTGCAATTTGATAAAACATTTGACCAAATTGGTTTTGTGAAAAAAAAAACACACCTTTCGGGTATGCACAGTAACATCATTGTCATTTGGGGTTTGGTTGATAGTTGTATCATTTACAAAATGTTCACGTCTCCTTAGTTTTAGTTTGTGGTTTAGGTTTTTGAATGGTTCCAAATATAGTATAAAATTGAGAATGGAAATGGGGAATGTGTCAAAGAGACAACAACCCGACCATAGAGCAGACAACATACACTTTCTCGATAAGGCAAACATTAGGTAAAATATAAATACAAGAGTAAACAAAATAAAAACAGCACTGTATAAACTTAGGACCCACCTGCACCAGGAACGCCTTAAGTAAAAAACTCAATGACGAGATGCATCAAAACCGAGTCACGTCAAAAGTCGAGTTCAAAATCGGTCTGGAGAAACAAACAGAAGGTTCATCAAACTTATCAGAAAACGATCCCAGTTAAGAGGCAACACATACGCCCTAAGTCAAGAATGATTTTATATGGTAAACTATCTTTGCATACAATGGTATAACGAAATCTATTAACAACATGAAAATGTCAGTCTCAGCAGTTTAAGAAAACTGATTTTTGTGGTTTGTTTTGTATGTCAATTTTAGCTATTTGCTTACCTTATTTACAAATCTACCAATCGAATATTTACCTGTTCTGGGAAATAATAAATTCCACTGTTTCTGGTTGATTACTCGATTTCTCTTCAATGGGTCAAGAACCTTAAACTTATTCTGATTTAGCACTTTTTGTAATCCTCCAGAGGGAAACTCTTTGTCAAATGTCATTCTTACTGCTTGTGGAGCTACTTTTAGCATAAGATTGATAATCCGCAAGTAGTTTGCTTCTTCCTCAGTAATGGCCTTCTGTTTTTCCTTTATATTGTAAAAGGATTTCGCTGAACATTCATTAACTGCCATATTGATGCTGATTAACAATTTACAATAATTGTATCAAAATTTACACTCTGTATCACCTTAAAGGAGAACGCACATATTTAGATCAAACAAGGATTTTATATAAAGTTATCATTGATGATTAAATTGCACGTTCATAAATCGCTCTTATTTTTTTTTTTTTTAATAAAATAGCCATTTTATGACAGTAAAACCCTTTTTATACTTATATATAAGATGACAGTATGACAATCACTAATTATTGTTGACACTGACATGCTGCAACATTATACCATCCAGCATTACCTCTTCCCAATTAAACTCATATTAATCAATGAACTGTTTTTGACATGACATGAAATGTTATCATGTTTATAATGACCATTGCCAAACATGCTAGTGGGTTTGGAACCGTAATTTAAATATAATTATATGAATATGAAATTCATGTCATTTTGTTTTTCGTGTCATTAGGTTGCTATGTAAATAATGATTTTTTTCATATTTTCCTTTATCTTATTAACATTTAAATGAGTTTAATATCAAGTAGAAATGTATGCTGAAAAATGATTTAGTACTACTAACGTTACGCTTTATCTGAATTTTGTAATAATTATTTTACAATGGAACTCTCTCGTGACAATGAGAGTATGTACATCATCATACAATTGAATATACATTTTTTTTAGGAATAGCTTTGTCGACAATGAGTGTTTATGTAAGACATAATAGTGTCATGTGAAAAAGTGTCCACCTGGACAGTTTTTTCCAGATATAAAGTATTAAATAATGTACATTGACATGAAATTTTGTCTCTTAAGCGGAATTTTTTTTTGCAGAAACAGTTATGAAATAGTGTCCTCCCACAGGATAATATTTCATAGCAGTTGTTATTGAATTATGTCCTCCAAGAGAAGTAACACAAAGGTCTTAAAAATGTGCTATTATACTTGAATTTTAATTAATTAAGAAATGTGTATTCGAAATAGATGAATTTAAATATAAAAAATGGATGGCAGTGAATACCGACAAGTACAAGAAAAGTTCAATGAAAATGTAAGGCGAACACTTCGAAAATGTTAAAAGTATAAAATCAAACTGGAGGAGTTATATTAAATTTATAAGGACAGCTTTTCACAGAATTTTAGTATTAAATATTGTACATTGCCATAAAATTTTGTCTCGTAAGAGGGCAGAATTATACAACAACAGTTATGAAGGAGTGTCCTCCCACAGGACAATATGTCATGGCAGTTGTCATTTAATTATACCCTCCAATGGAAGTAATACAAAGGTTTCACTTCATTTTATATTTTAGTATATGTACATGTTACCTATATTTCAAAAACTGCAGGTCTAAAATTAAATCAGCCTCATAACCTACATATGTTGTTAACTATTGTATATGAAAATGGGATTCCTGTTATCTGTTACTTGACACTTAACGTGTTCACTGTTTTTGACATAATTTATCTCTGATAATTGTTATTTACAAGCATTTGCAAGATTCACGCTAATCACATTAAATTTGCTATTAATCTCTTTCTTTACAGGGCTCTCTCAAAGGAGTAACATAAACAGCATATATGCAACTGTCTTTGGAGATCTTTAAGTTAGTTTATTTCCATCCACTATTTAATTTATCCCCACGTTTTTCAATAAATCGTTGTCAAATCCTATCCCAGCACCCCAACTCCATAGATCACAAGGTGTTTCGAACATCTTTTTAGACCAATTAGAATAAGCTAATTGACCATGGCCATGTCCGTCGTCAGGAGCCCAAGCTATTGCAGGGTGACACTTAATCTTAAAAATACTGTAATTTTATAAGGGTTTTGGCACCTCGTGATCTGTTTGACTAATACTTTTCTATACTCATTCTTTTCTGTCCATGTTCATCAGTTTAACAAACATAGTATAGAATATATTTTCATAATTTTCAAATATTTTAATTACCAAGAGTTACAGATGTTACTGTGTCTTTCAGGTTGTTATGCCTACGGAAAGCGAAAAGATATCTTTTATCAAATAAAAGTTTTGCCTCTTCGTCATCTTTTAATTTATGCCGTTGCTTTAAAATATTGTTCTTTAAGTGTATTTTCTGTCTTGAAAACACTGTGGAATATACAGAGGGAGGCGACTGTAATGCAGATTTGGGTTTAACCATTAATGTATCATTTCTTTGTTTTGCAGTCACTACCTACAAAACAGTTTTAATTTCTTTTTCTTTATACCCTCCTTTTAATGAGGCGTTCAGAAAATAACGCATATTGTGTTTGCAAATCTACTGGATCGTTCGTACATTTCTTAAAGCGAAGCATTTCTCAATGCTTTAATTATGACCCTGAAAGTAAAAGATGGATGGCACGAGGACCTCTCTAAGTACTGATAATTTTTCCTTTTTTTTTGGAATGTCGTGAAGTCTAAGGTTCCTTTATCTCTAAATATTGGGCCTTTGAATATAAACGCATCTAAAAACTGCATTTTAGTTTGTGATTTCTCGTATTTAAATTTTAGTAGTGTATGGTGTCTGTTACCATGTTCAAAAAATTTTGCTATTTCATCGTCTGTACCTTCATTGTAAATAAAAAAACAATCGTCCCTAAACCTATAAAGGCTCGATATCTGTTTATGTTGGAAAGTCCTTAAAATTCTATTTAATTCTTTTCAGACTCTCAGATCGGTAATATCAGGAGATATACTATTTCCCATTGGAACGCCAGTTGAATTTTGTAAAATTTATCATTGAACATAAATATATTTCTGAATCAGTATTTTCAAGAACTATCTTTAGAAGTTCCAAAATATATCGCAGGGGACACAATGGTGTTGCATGTTTACATCTAATTATCGTAGGCCAAGCATGTTTGACTGAGTCAATCATTTCTACATGGGAAATATTGTTGTAAATTTCGTTTATGTCAAAACTGACTAAGCAGGCGTCAGGTTTTACCTGCAATTTCTCAATAATATTTATAAATTCTAAAGAGTCCCTTAAATGTGTTTCCTGTTGTACTACTGCTGGAAGCATGGATTTATCCAAATGCTTCCCTTTTCTCTCTAAAACAAAACTAGATAATGAAACAATAGCCCTCCCTTGAATTCTGTCATTTTTATACTGCGTAGGATTCTGTTGAACCCTTTCTATTAGTTCATGATCCAGTTTGTGCAATTTAGGCAGAAGATACAACCTTCCTGGTTTTAGATTTCTATCAGCAGAACGATATACAAATGTATTATCATCCATGACCCCTTCCCTATGCATTTCAAAGATAATATTATTGATTTTCCAGTTGGTCTCTATTATATTTATTTTTTTTCAATTTCTAAGAAGTGAGTAGCACTACTTAGTTGCCGAAGTCCTTTATTTATATATTCTGTTTTATCCCAGACCACTGTGGTGTTATCTGCTTTCCAATAACTATTTTTTTGTTTTGTTTCAGGGAATAAACTGCCTATTTTTCCGGTGTAGTGATCTTAGTTTTTAATAAGTATGTCTCAATTGCATTGTTTGCAATTTCCGGGTCGTATCCATATGGTTATCACAATCTTAACTCCATACTCACTTATACAATCAATATTCAAAAACTTTGGAACATTAAAGGGAAATCCATGGTCAAAGGGCGAAACCAAGACAACAAGCAAACAGCATATATATATAGGACAAACGACGTACACAATACACTAAAAGAATATACAACACATGAACACAAACCGGATTAAACCTGGAATGAACTCAGGTGCTTTGGAAGGGTGAGCATTTCCTGCTTTTTGCAAGACACCCACCGTTTTGTTTTGAAAATTCCTTAAATTCGGATAGAACAATCAAATAACTTAACATTGTTCGATTTTTCAATATGGTTGTTAAGTATTATTGAAGTTTTTACACCACTGTTATCTGTTATTCAGTTAAAGTTGGTGTTAACTGTTATCAGCATTTTATATTTGTTGTTAACTTTTTTTGCCAAAATCGAGGTGTTGTTAACATGTTAACAGACCCCCTATTGCCCCCCTCTGAAACAGAGTAAAGATTGTTTGATTAGGTACAGACACAAACGAATGTGATTAAGTAAAACATTATTTCATGGGAGACATCATTAAATTCTACATTATCACATTTACTGTTAAAGGACCAAATTTATGGTAAAAAGTGTCCAGAGATAACATTAATATATCCTACATTGACAAGTTTTGATTTACTTAAATAAACCTTTAAACTACCGGTTGTGAGTATAATATATAAGTTGGTCATATGATTTCATTTCCAACTAAGTTAAATCATCATTATTCATGGAAGCCAATCTGATTTTTCTAAAATTAGAATCAATGGAAATTTTGAATGGTTATAATTCTTTTGAAATATAGTTAAAATATCATATTGAACGAAAATATTGTTATTTCAATGCTACATTATGACAATATTAATCATTTGACATCCTACCTAGCCTGTCCTCGTAAGAATCATGTCACAGGATTACAGTAATCATATCAAGGGTAAGAAACTAAAAGATTATCTAACTGAATATAATAAAGGCTACTAAAATACAAGTAAGTTTAAGATTGTTTGTGTTTGCCTAAAAATGTACGTTTTATTAACAAATAATGAGCGAAAATTGAAATATCATTTAGACGTGACAGCAGATACACTAAATCCAAATTTATCACTGTCAGCGAGGATCGAACCTGCAATCCCTTGATTAGCAATCAACAACTCTACTGTTTGAAATGTGCAATAGGGGAGCTTAGCTGCTTCAAATGTACACATGAATAATAAATACAAACTTTGTAATTTTATTTTGCAAGAGATATCTACAAGGACATTGGACAAAAAAATGAATATTCCGCACAAAAAAAAAATCATAAATACAACAATGAATTCTGCATTTTAATAGATTTCGTAGATACCAGGATTTAAATTGTGTTAACCAGACGCGCGTGTCGTCTACAAAAGACTCACCAGTGACGTTCAAATAGGAAAAGTTAAAAAGTAGAAATAAAGTACGAAGTAGAAGAGCATTGAAGACCCAAATATTCCGAAAAGTTTTTTCTCCGAATACAGCTAAGATATCTATTTCTTTGGTAGAAAATCTTAGTTTTTTTAAATATTTAAAGTTTTGTAAACATTTAATTTATAGTTATGACCAAATCAATG